TCTTATGGTTTTTGCAGGAGTTACTGATGAAGATATTCTCTCTGAAATTACTGATGAGATAGGAAACAATGATGAAGATGATGATGATATTGATGATGATGATAATACAGGTCCATCGCAGTCCTTATTGTCATCCCAGGAAGCTCTTCAATCTGTGAATTCCTCTACGGACATTTTTTCAAGCCTTCCGTCGACAAATAAAGAACATTTTCATCATGCACTAGACTCAATGCATACAGTATTGGCGAACTTAACAGTTAAAAAAATCAATAAACAAACAAAATATTGGATTATTTTTCAATAAAAAAAAGTGTTTTCAGGTATGTGAATATTTCTCTGCTTATTTTCTGAATTTATCTTATTTATTTATTTTTTTAGTATTTAAACCACTATTATTAGTATTTTACAAATTAATTTCTTCTAAATATAGACTTAAAAGTAGTATGTTATGCACCTTAAACTAATAATAATAAAAAAAACTCTTATTAAATGCTCAAAATATGTGGGCCCTGGATATAACAATATGCCTCTCTACAACAATATATTTATTTGGTCCCTAAAATATTGTTGTAATGAGGTTTCACTGTATAATCAGCTCGAGGGGTCTGGGAACATGGACACAGATTGTAAGCAATAACTTAAGAACTAATTTAGTTAAAGAATGTCTCACAGATATTTATGAGAAGAATTTCAAATTTCCCATAGACAAAGAAACAAGATGTTGTTTGTTTTAATGTTACTGCTATCTGCTTCCAGATGGTAAGAAGGTGAAGCTTTATTGGCTTGCATATTCACAAAAGAGACTCTCTACATTGCTATTATTGCAAACTGTTCAACACTAGGCTTGTCTTTCTTGTAAGATATGGCTATAAAGAATGGAAAGGACTCTCTAAGCTTTTCTCTAATCATGAATTGTCTCACACCACATAGACCTTATTTGAAAGAGGAAAGAATTTAAAAAATCAAAATTAATAGACAAAGTAACCCAAGATCAAACTGAGAATAAAGACAAAAAGTATACCTTTAGGAGGGGTTATTTACTTCGACACCAGATGTAAAATGAAAAAAAAAAAAAAAAAAAAAAAAAAAAAAAAAAAAAAGGCAGTTTTTTTTATGGAAGTAGTAGGAATGAAAGCATATCAGGAGAAGAAAAGGAATTATGAATAAATATTATGACTGCTATTATGTCCTTGAAAGAAAGACTTCAATGGTTAAGTCATTGTTCTGATGTTTAGTGTTCAGTCATTGTTCAATAGTATTTATGACAATTGACCAAAAAACAAGAAAGATCTCAATATTTATTTAATTAAATTTATGTAAGTAGCTTGCAGTCATCCAAAATAAAACTCAGACAATAAAGGTTCCAGATCTTATTTTTGAATTGGAAGTTAGGTCCCACATATTACCACAAACTGCCAATAGCTGTCTAACAGTACTTTAGTACATGTGAAAGAAGAAATTGGAAAAGAATTTGCCATATGTATCAGTCACACTCAGAATTTGCACATGTTTATGTTTACAAATGGAATGCAAATGTTCCAAACTAATAAAATATCATTTACTGTCTTCAATAAAAGAAGAACGATTAAGGGATCATTCTATAATAACAGCAGACAAGCTGACTGCATGCCCATTGAACATCAATAAGTTAATTAAAATATTTACTGCTCTGCAAAGAAAAATGATTATTGAAAGAAGTGTTAAAATTTAAGCAGGTAATGTAGGAAAAGTTTTATCTAAAGGGTAGAAAAAAATAAGAAAAGGAAAAAAAATTGTATGATTTTATATGACAGAATTGAGAGTATTCAAAATGAATTTTAGAATAGAAATAGAAATGAAATAAGAAAAGGGGAAGAAAAATATATGATTTTATGTATATGACAGAATTGAGAGGACTCGAAATTAATTTTTCAAAAATAATTTTAAAATGCTTATGACTTTTAAATAAATGTTTATAAGATAACATTATAAAATCAAGAAAGGATTTGAAGTATGTTGTAAAATATAATACACTGGGGTAAGCTGATTTTTTCACACATTATGAAATTCTACATATTGAAATTACTAACAGCATTATATTATGAATTTAGTGAATATATGTTAGACTTTTCAGTTCTATTTTACCGAAAATATTTTATACTTATTAATATCATTTAAATGCTACATAGCAGATTTTTATAGGCTCAGATTTCTTACAAAAGAAACCCATTCATTCCAGGATACTCAAAAACTTGGAAGAAAAGGACAAAAACTGGAAGCAATGAACAGTGGGGCATCACTCTTAATCTTAGTGCATCCAGGGACATCACTGTTAATCTTAGTGCATCATATTTTATGTAAAATGTACATCATAACAAAGAAAATAATTATATAAAAAAAGAATAAATAGAAGGAGGCAGAAACTAAGATCAAACTTATATATTAGTTATATATTATTTTTAAAATAAAAATTCCATGCAGCCCATCTATTCAACTTCTGATAACCAAACACTGATAACACAGTAAGTGTTTTGTAACTTCATCCTCTCTGCAACTGGTCAGCTTATTTTACTTAAACAGTTTATCTGATATGAATTTTGATGAATCAGTGAAGAGTGTATTTCTAGACAAAAGAAATTTGTCTAGTCATGAAATACTTTCTAATGAATAAACATTTTACTGCATATGTATTTCCTGAGTCATATAGTCCAAGAAAGGAACACTAATTATAAAAACTTCAAAAATATATCCTGATCAGCTAAAACATTATAACTATCCTTATAGTATGAGATGTACTTGCTGAAATAACGTAAATGGCATATAAGAAGGTTGAAATGCCAATTAATGACTGTCAAGCACACATATGTATCATTTTGTTAAGTATGTGTACATGTAACAGGGAAGGCTGCTGACTTAAGCAATTTTGATAAAAGCCAGATTGCTAGAAATAAGCATCTCAACAACAGCAGGTGTTTGAAATCTGTTATTCTTAAAATAATATAAAAGTGGAATAAGGATAATGAAACCGACAGTAGATGCCAAGTATGCTTAACTGACAAATTCAAATAATAGAAACTGTTCTGCTTAGTAAGGGTAAATAGGCTGCTGCCAATAAAGCTATTGGCAGCAGCTGCCAACTGAATACTATACCAATGCAGGTACATCTGAGTGCACAATTCATTACACTCTGTTAGATATGGGGTTTCACAGCAGATAACCCCCTCTTATGTATTCCATTTACTCAGCTTTATTAATGCTAATGACTACAGTGGATAATACTATTACACAGGCAAGTCAAAAATTATCTACACTTTTGTCATAACTTTTCTTACATTGCACACTTTGTCTTCTGTCCTCGCATATTTTATTCTTATACTGTTGTGGAAATGCTGTGAAAGTTTGATCTTAGTTTCTCCATTTTCTTCCTTCTGTTGCAGATATACCATGGCTGCTCCATTAGAAGCTTGCACCAAAGAGGAACAACAAGCAATAATCCGATTCCTCTGGTTGGAGGGTGTCAAAGGGTCAGACATTCATCGCAATATCGGAAAAGTGTACTATCACGTAAAACTGTGTTTTGACAAAGCGTTGACAGACCCTAACACGAGTGAGCTTGTGTTCTGCAGTAAGCTTTCTTGGTACCCACCATGCGCAGACTTTATGAAAACCGAACTCGTCGTGGATGATTTGATGGGCAGAGCCATGATTGATGTTCAAAGCAGACAGTACCTCATCGATAGTGATTTGTCTATTCATGTCTGACCCTTTGACACCCTCCGACCAGAGGAATCAGATCAGTGCCTGTTGCTCCTCTTTGGTGCAAACTTCTAATGGAGCAGCCATGATATATCTGCAATAGAAGAAAAAAAAATGGAGGAATTAAGATCAAACTTTTACAACATCACCACAACAGTATAATAATAAAATAGGCGAGGACAGAAGACAAAGTGCGCAATGTAAGAAAAGTTATGACAAAAGTGTAGATAATTTTTTACTTGCCCTCATATATTTGGACCATGCAAGAATAAAAAGAGTTACCCGGGAAAATGAATCCCAAATTTCTTTTATGTTTAATCAATGACCATATCAAGATATGCCATCTTCCAAGTGTAAAATTAATTGACACAGGTTAGGCAGTGGAAGTATGTTTCAGGAGATGTTCCCATGATTGTCCCTGGGACTAGCATTTACTGTGGAATACAGCATGATATTTGTGGACTGTGTGAATAGTGACAAGTTAAACCCTTTGTAGCTTCTGTCTTCTTAACCAAAAATGTACTCTTCCCACAAAACAATGCATTAGACCAGGAGTGTAGCTAGGGGGGGGAGAGAGGACATTATCCCTGGATGTAGCATTCAGGGGGATCCAAGTTGATGCTGTGAAATTTTAGAATTAAATATATTCCATTCGTAGCAAACGTAGAAAGCAAAATCTTCAGTTGTCCCTGGACGCTGAAAATCCTATCTACATCCCTGCACTGGACAATTCACAAGGTTAGAATAGTCTGGTGCATTCGTGGTTTGAGGTGCATGCTGGTGAATTCCATTTGATTTTATAACCTCCATCCTACATCAGATATAATTGAATACATCTCAGATGTCATGGAGTGCTACCTCAGAGGTAACAAAACACCTTGTAATAATCTACAGAAATTACATGAGATCATCTTTTAAGTCTGGTACAATCTTCCTTAGAACTTCTACCAAGAAGTACAGAATTCATGTTATGACAAATTGCAGCTGTTTTGATCACTAAAGGTCAGCAACACTGTATTTAGATTGTAGTCATAATGTTTTGATTGATCCTTTACACTAAAACTTAGTTTAAATGAAATATTGAATTTTGCTCAAAATTTAACATATTTAGTTTAAGAATGTAGCTTTTAGAAAAAACATCAAAAGTGCCTATATTTCACTCTGGCATAGAATTTTGTGAATTTTTAATATATAAAATGCAACAGATAAATTTCACAAAAAAACATTTATTTAAGAATATATTTAAGAAAGAGATTCATTCTTACTGCTGTAAGTCTTTTACAAAATGAATGGAATGTTCCCAAAACAGGCACTTGAAAAAACTCAAATTTTCTTCTAAATTGAGATGAAGACTGACTTTTTGCTTCCTTTAGAGCTGATTTATATTCTTGGAATAATTTTATACACTTCTTCATTCTGATCTCAGCGTCTTGGCGTGGCATATTCCACAAAACTAACTTGCCTGAATCAGTGATATAATTTTTACAAATTATTACAATTTGATTGGTAACCTAAAACATATTAGGGAAAAAAAATAAAAAAGATTAAAAATCAACTTTGGGTAAACAAAACGTGCTATAGAAAGTAACCTTACCAGTAAGAATTATACACAACACAGTAAGCTTTTTCTTATCTTAAAAAACACAGAAAAAAGAATTTTTATAGAGCTTTTAAATATATAATTAGGCATAAAGGCAATCTTAAATTGCTGCAAATTTTATAATAAAACTCTATGGATTTAGGGAATGATCATACATTATTCCTTTTTCTCTAGAAGAAAAAAAATTCTCATTGGAAAAAGAACATGGTATTCTCCCTCCCCCCTTTCCTTTCTTATTGAAGTAAATATGTGTTGCAAGTTTCCTTTGCCAATGACCTTGTAAAATAAATGTACGGCTACTTCTTTAATAAATATTTTTTTCAAATAACTATATAAAAATATGATGAAATAATATAATGATTATTTTTAATAAGTATGTAAGAATGTGATAAAATAGTAAACAATTTTTTATAATTTATATTTTATAATTTTATAACATAAAGTTTATAAAATGTGATAAAATAATAATATGATTTATGATAAATAATCACAGCAACTTTTTTCCCTTAACGTTTGGTACTGCTATTTTAAGAGCTAATTTAAATACAAAATTTTATATTTTAAATTCCAAAAGAATTAATCAGATTACTGATAAATGTTACATCAAAATCATTTTAGGAGTTAAACTGAAATCCTAATACAAAGATCAAAAGATACTTTTTTAAAATATGATTTTTATAGCATTTTAATTTTAAAATATTTTACTTACTTTTGGAAATTTATCAGTAAACGTTTCAATGTTTTAGACTATAATCTGAAATTTCAGATTACACTTTATATTTTTTTTATCTATTTTTTTGAAAAATTCAATTTTCCTCTTGTAATTAAGCTATTAACAGTTGAATCTTCTAATTTTTTAAATACATAATAATAAATAATATTTTAAATCATATTATATAATTTCAATTCAGCTGCCCATAAAGAAATTATATATATGTTTGCCTTTTTATGTGCATATAATCATCTGCTCAAATTTATTAATTAATTACACTTATATTCAACTGTATGTATAAATTGTATTTCGTTAATTTTGTACATATTTAATATCTGTTTAATCTCAGCAGCATATCACTGTTTATAATCCCTTTACAGATGCATACTGTTTGTCATCATTATGAATAAGCTTTATTCTGAGACTAAATTAATCAAGCTGAATTCAGGTCCCAGTCCTAGTTTTGGATAAAAAAAATTCTAAGCAATCAGTTTTCTGCAGTAAATCAGAATACTAATTTTAGTAATTAGTTTGACACTAAATTTTTATGGTATATATTATTAATTATTTTCAATTAGATTTATATTTTGGTATTTTAATACTAAAATTTCAATTTTCATTAAAAATATTTATTTACCCCTAGAATGCTACCCATTCGTCTCCTGGACTAAGCCCATAACAAATACCTTACCCGGCCTTTCCTAAAACAAGGAATCGGGATGTGCGCCTCAGTACCTTTATATGATCTTGGCTGCTACAGATGAGGACATTCCTTCTTACCGAAATATTTTCGCATGTAGCATTTTTAGAACAACACTCATTTCACAGATGAATGTTTCATTTGAAAATAAGACTTAAGTTCATTTCTGTGTTGCCTTGAAGACGTCAAAGAGTTTTCGCGGAGAAAGGGTTTGGGATAGACCTGAGGCTATCCAAGAGTGCTGAAGAAAATTAAATTTTTGGGGATGAATAGGAGGAGGATGATTTTGCTGAGGTTGAAAATCCCAAATTCACAGATAGCGACAAACATGAAAATGAGGAATTGTCATTTGACGATAAAGATGAAGAAGAAACAATGCTTGTAAAACAAACCCATGAGGATGAAAATATTAATTTCAAATATGGAGCTAAAAAGAAAATACTAAAACAGTTAAAAAATTGAATTTAAAATAAGCAGCTAAAAAATGCTTAAAACATTGAAAAATTCTGACATTTTTTGAGTCATGAAAAATCTATTATTTATCCTGGTAAAATTCAGCTCAGTGGTAAAGATCTGTTCCTAAATCAAGCAACACAAGTACAGCATCTCACAATATTATTCAATTTATTAAAGAATGAAGAGGCTGAGCAATAAAAGTGACTGCAGACACATTGGATCAGATATGCAACAATATGTCATGTAGTAGAAAAACGAGCTGAAGGCTTCTTTTTTTTTTTTTTTTTTTTTTTTTTTTTTTTTTTTTTTGCGTTTTACAGCATGATAAATATCAGTTTATTGAATGCACATGTTATATATGTAAATAATATAAAATCCGAAATGCATTATCGAGAAAAATGTTCGCAATAAAGCTAAGTGTGAAGATGTTCTTGCTCCATGGATGAAGAAGCATTACAACATTTGCTTCAATCAACAAGAAGAGTTATAAGGGAACAGCTAATTCTTGAAATTAGATTTGAACATTCAACCTCCTGAACAATCTGACAATAAAAAATGAAATATTTGTGCATTTTGCCTGTACAGTTTGCGCACAAACTTTTGTCAAACGTGTTCCAGAGTAATGCACAGAAACCAACATGGTAATATGTGTAAAGACTGCTTTGAGAATAAATAAATGATACTTTCTTGCTAAAGTTCCAGAGGCCTGAAATCATCTGCACATAGTATACTTTTATTTTAAATAACTTTTAAAATAGATTTTAAAGATTCTTACACACAGTTAGTCTCGGAGACGAATGGTTACCATTCCCGTAGGTTTTTAAAAGGGTAGCATTCTAGGATTAATAAAAATACAGGATTCTAAAAAAACAGACAGGACAAACTTCAAGAAGAGATACGAGCACATGAAAACAATAATTTTGTTTCATAAAAATGCACAGTCAAAAATGAAATACAGAAGTGTAGCAGGATACTTAACATAGTCTTTTAACATTGCCTAGCATTTTTAAAGCCACATTCATATAGCTTTTAAATAAAACATATTTACTTAATTTTATGAAAATAATCCATGAAATATAAAATATATTGACTTACATGTGCTTCAATACATGGCATTTAACTTGTTTATTTAATACCTCTCTTGTAAGATAATTTCAACATTTGAATCTTAAATGTGAAGTCAACTTATTAAATGGTAAAATATACTGATTACACATAACTGACAGAAACATTTCAAGTAAAGTATTTGGATTTAGAAATCCTAATCTTCTCTTACAAGTCTCTGCTTTGTTAAGCTGAACTCATATCCTGAACAACTATTTTATTGAAAAATAAAATAAAATTTAAACTGAACAAAAAGACAGAGAGAGAGAGAAAGGACAGTTCTATATCTCCCATTCTACTGGGCTGATTGACGAAATTCAACTTGCGTTATTGATGTCTCAAAAATGCGATAAAGGATATGTATTAGATTTATATGCAGCATTGTTCTAATATAGGTATTCAAAATCGGACCTTTTTCTGAAATGACAATCCACATTTTATCCATATTTTGATTCTATGACTCAAATTATGACAAACTGCCAAAGTTTGTAAAAATCGCTCAAGTAATTTCTAAAAAATTAGCTCTCAAAATTTTAGCCCCTCAGTGTTAATTGAATTTGGTATATATCTATTAATCTCTTTCAAAATTTAGGTTCATCCCAAATAAAATTCGCCCATTTTTTACAACTTATTCTTAAAATTTGTAGTATTTAAAAATAATTTTTATAAACTTTTCGAAAAACATTTTGAATTATAACCTATAAAATTTTCACCATCCTCTTAAAAGTAAATATAGTTCTAAGCATATCTGCAAAAAAATTATTTCAAAAAACATTTTGAATTATAACCTATAAAATTTTCACCATCCTCTTAAAGTAAATATATTTCTAAGCATACCTGCAAAAAATTACAGTTTTTTATTCAAAACTTCCGAAGATATGCGTGAATTTATATATTGGTGCATTTTGAAATTTGGCACATTTGTTGAAAGCTATAATAACATCAAATATGGTTTAGGCACTTTGTTAAAATTATTTTAAAGTAGAAAGGATGTAACTTTGTTTCATGCACAATGTAAAAAGGTAAAGGAAAATATGTTGCCATATATTAAGAAGTTTGCCAAGTGAATTATTCTTGGCACAAACTGAAAAAAATATGCCAAATAGATTCAAATAGATAAATACAAATACAATACAAATTCTTGCATAGAAGTTGTAACTTTTAATGATAGTCTCATGTCAAAATTTCACATATCTATTTTTCAGGAAATGCAGTAAACCTATTGATAATTAATTTGATAATAGGCAAATTTTTCATTCCTGAAAATACTAAAGTTATCACCCAAGTTGTGTCATCATAGCCATTGATCTGGTATTGGCAGTTTCAGTTACTGGGTTAATAATAGATCAAGAAGGAACAACTTATACTCCAAGCTAAAATGGATTTAACACATTGAAATGCTATGATAAATGGCTCAGATAAGTCTTTCACTAGAAGCTTCCCATGGGATAAAGCACCTGCAGGCTTTTCAGAAGGCTTTTTTCTCACTTTCTCTCTAAAGTACACTTCTTAGTCTGAAGCACAGTCTAGACTGACTCAATTTCAATGCAATAAACTAGTGAAGTTAATAAATTTTACATATACTATTGTTAGCATGCTTTCTGAATAAAGTAAATTAATTAAATATGTGCATTCATTATTCATCATCAAATTGTCTTTACAATTTAGAAATTGAAACATTTTTAATTATCACTTCTCATATAACCCACAGAAAATTTATATCAGAGTACTTATATCGCGATCGTGCAGTGGCAAAGTGGGTAGTGCAGCTGCACTACAGGTCTGAGGTTTGATCCTCGGGCTGGCAAGGTTGTCTCAGCCTTTCATTTCTAAGTGGGTCGATAAAATGAGTACGAAGTTCATTTGGGGGCTAAATACCGGGGGCCTGCGACAAGCTGACCACTTGCCCAGGGCATATGCTGATGCACTCCAGAACCCAAAGTCAAGAAAATAGATTTCAGGGCACTGCAGGCCATAGCCCACTAGGGCTGTTGTGCCACTGAGTTTAGATTTTATTTATATTGCAGTATTTATAATTTCTTAACAGGCTGTACAGCCTATAAAGTATGTGAAACTTTTTTTATTTTGTTGAAATTTAAAGAATGTATGCATATTTTTAATTCTGAAATAAACATTTTAAATATATGACACATTCCTACACTTCGAGACAAAACATTTTGAAAATAGAAATTATGAATAGATTAAAAAACAAAATGTGCTTTTAAATAGCTCCTGCATCAGAACTTACTTTGGTGAAAAAAGAAGTAATGTGCTCAGGAGTATGATAATATCTAGAAAAAGAATTAATCATCTGAACCTCTAATATAAGAAGAGGAATAGACTTCTGAATTTCATCCTAAAAAATGAATTAATAAAACAAAAATAAAGTGATGACTAAAGTAACAATATATAAATTTATAAAATTATTGCAAGGTAGAGATGTTTAACTAAACTTTAATTTTCACTGAAAATAAGTATATATTTTTAGAATGCATGTCAGATTCGTTTAATGGATAAAAGGAATTTTAGAAATGTCTTGTCCTAATGTTTTACACATAACCCCAAAATAGAAAACTCTCTTAAAAATTCTTAATTTTTAAAAAATGAAAGCATAATGTTTTTTCTAAACTTCATTGTCATAAGCACATAATTCAATTAAAATAAGACTTCATGTATAACATACAGTAAAATCCGTCAGACACACTTCTTTTAGCTTTAGTTTTTTTAAATACACAAATGTAAGATAGAAATATGGAGCATAATTAATGATATTCATCATCTGAAGTAATTCTAAACATTTAAGGTTTAATATATTTTTATTAATACTAACAATTCATTTTTTTAATTTTGTTTTTTCAAAACTGTTCTAGTTTTTTAAAGTAAAATTTCAATGAAACCCAAATGATTGCAATGTAAATTAAAGTAAGTTCAGTTGTAAATAATTTCCGATCATTATTATGGGGAAATAAGTATTTAAGAAAAGGAAATAATCTTAACTTTGAAGAGATATATTTCTACTCACTTTTAAGCAGATATTTATGTAAAAATTTAATAAAACATAAAATTAAGGAAAAAAATGGGGAAATGAATACTAAAGTAAAAATATAGATCTTTAAATCATTCACAGTAAAATATGTATACTAACTGGAACATTTGATGCAAACTACATTAAAAAGGGAGGAAACAGCTCTTGCTGTATTTTTGGAACATTCTACTTGTATGAATATAAATAAAATAATGAAATACTATCATATTGTATCCCAAATAATTAAACAATCATTGCTTTTCATTATTCTATAAGAGTGATATCCATATACATTAGGTAGATAAAAACAAAATCAGAAAACAATGGTTTCATGTATTGCATCAGTGTAGAAATTACAGAAAATTTTCCTATCCAAATCATTATTAAATAGCTAAATTCACCGTATGATAATTACAACTATTTTATAATGATAGATTAACATTACTTTATAACAGGAGAGTTGCTTTATAATTACACATTAGGGCTAACTGTTTCATAATAATGCATTAGTAGGTTCTTTTAAAGAGAAAATCAGACATCCATCTTGCAATAGATCTTGTAAATGCAGCTATCAAGGAAGAAATTGTAATCACATACAAGGCAAATTGAAAGTAACCTTATCTCATGATTAACTTGAATAATATTAATAAAAACTACAGAAAAGGCTACCTTTCATGATTCAGTTAAGCACAAAGGTCATATGTAGCAAAAACAATTCACACAACAAGATCCAGTCTCTATATGATTCAAAATTCAAAATATAGAATGAGTCTATACTGTTAATGAGACAGTAATAATTTTTAAATTCTGCATTGTAAAAGGAAAAAACTCATCAAAAGCAGTCTACTAATAGTTAAATGGGTAATCCATAGACAGTTTCTTTTTGGGCTCAGAACCCTGTAATGGCTACATGCCATTTTTAGGTTTTTTGCTATGTTTAATATAAATTATGGTTAATTCCATAAACAAAATCATCCATGAAGTGCTTATTTCAGAGAAAAATAGATCTTGAAGAGCTTTATTATTTCCATAACTGATAACCAACTAAGTACAAGAAAATGGAATCGTTATTAGCATAATAAATCAGAAATTTCTTTAGCATAATGGTTAGAACAGTGATTCTCAGCTTGTACCCTCCATGCACCCCTTTCACCATTGCATGACAATCATTTCCCACCTCTGCTTTCCAAAAGTTAGGGAAAAAACTCATTTTATGCTGCAGGGGAGATAAATATGTCTAAGAAATCTTTGAAATACCTTACATGGTAAAATCAATTTGGTAACAAGTAAACCTTTATGTAATTTACTAAAGTAATGAAAAAAAAAGAGCTCAAGTAAGATGTATTACAAATTAAATGTTCACTCTCTTATGAAGTTAAAGGCTAAATATGTAGACTTTACCAAATCATTTTTGTAAAATTTCTCACATATCTTTTCTAGCTGTTGAAGGTATTTAACATTATCCTTTGCTTCATTTATACTATCTGTCAGTCTTCTTTCCTGTTCCATCCACAGCTAATTGAAAAAATAAACATTACATTATTATTATAAATTAATAAAAAAAGACTATCATATAGAAAGAAACATGAAGTGATTAGACATTCACATGAAAATTAAATCCCAAAAATGATAAAAACAATATATATATATATCATTAATGTGTGTATTTGTACATTGTTGCATACTAATGGTCATAATTTTTATTGACATCAAAAAGATGTGAAAATTTCTATTTTCTCCTCATTAGAATAATTTTTATTTGACATCAAAAAGATGTGAAAATTTCTATTTTCTCCTAAAAAATAATCAATAACATAGAAGTAATTTTTATTTGACATCAAAAAGATGTGAAAATTTCTATTTTCTCCTAAAAAGTAATCAATAACATAGAACTATAATTATGCTTATAAATACAGTTTTATAAAATTTATATTTATACATAATGAATTTCATCTAACTATGAATGAATTAAAATGCAATGAGCAATTTTTTAGGCAATTAAATTATTGTACATACAGACAGTTCTAGAATTATCATTTTATACTACCTTATCTACTTGGAAGGATAACATACTTGTCATACAAAGTTTAAACACTCCATTTTATTAAATAATGTTTTTTATTTAATGAAAAAAAAATCAATGAAAATAGTTCCTGAGAACTCAACATTATCAGAAACTGTTTATTTTAATCTAATTTTTCTATTTGATTTTAAATGCATTTGCTACTTTGCTACTTTATAAATGTATTTGCTACTTTTTAAAATTTTGCATTAAAAGCATCATAGTTATATAGATTTCTTTATAATATGCAATACATTATTATGGAAACAAATAATTATGAGTTTGGGTATAATACACAACGTACCATAAGAAATAAAATTCTTCCATGAAATTAAGGATAAAAACATCTTTAGAAGAAATGAATGCTAAGTTAGACTACACATGACTCTATTTTACATAAATTAGTTCTTATACCTTCAGCATTCGAGAATGAGCACAAGTTAAGATCCTTATCACAGTCTGAAACTTATTAGATTGCACAAATTCAACAACAGAGCTGAGTCGACACAAAATGTAACGCCAATACTGAAGTTCATACAAAGGACCAGTATCATCAGTCTCTTGTCGAATTTGTTTACTTTCCGCAATTACCTAAAGAGGAAAAAAAAAAAAAACTGTTATGAGATTATTCAATACTTTTTTTCATCATTTAATTTCCAAGAAATGAAACATGACACTCATTTTATGGAAAATTAAAGAAATAGAACAATATATAAATCAGTGATTCAAGCATCTTTTAAATAAATGCTAGAACGTACTGTCTGTTAGTTATCATTATTACTACAGTAAGACCCCGCTTAACGCTGTTTCGTTTAGCGCTGTTTCGGTTTAGAGCTCTTTTATTTCAACCCGGGGATTCCACGAAATCGCTCGCAGCATATGGGGATTCCCCGAAATATTATGCAGCGATAGGTTTCAAATACATATCCGAAAGAGTGTACTTGTATTTCTTGTTTGGTGCGGTATTGTACAGACATATTTTGAAGGGGTAAATGTGGAAGATGTCGAAGAAATAATTCAAGAAGCAGCGGCTAGTCTTTCTAATGATGAGCTCAAGGAATTAACTGAACAAGAAGAAAACAAAAATGTTGACAGCAGTGATTCAGAAGAAGAGCAAAAAGAACTTTCTATGGCGTTTGTAAAAAGGAGTTTGTCTACCATAACTGAAATAATGGATCAATTCATTGAAAATGATCCGAATTTTCACAGGAGCTCAAAAGTAAGGCGTGGTGTTAGAGATGCTCTATCCGTTTATGAAGAACTTTTAAGAGAACAATGCAAAAGAAAAAGGCAAACAACATTAGATGCTTTTGTCACAAAAAGGCAGAAACACTGAAACGCGGAAGGCTAACTAAATATGACTGACTTAGAATTTTATTTTTGTTTTTTTTAAGAATATTCGTTTTGTTATTTATATTTTGTTTTTATTTTTGCAAGAAATGATAATGTGGTATTAATTTGGGCTTTAAGAAATAAATGTTTGGTTTTTATTTTTATTAAAAAACATACTTTTTAAAATTTAAATACCTACCAATTTCCTAGCCATCTTCCCCTAACCCCAATATTTACATGTAAAGATAGCCTCGTTTAGCGCTGTTTCGCATTACGCTCTACTTTGATGGAACGTATCCCCCGCGTTAAGCGGGGTCTTACTGTATAACTTTGGAAATATATAAGTATAATGATTATTTTGGAGTATTCTGATTTTGGTTTATAAGTTCTTTACTTATCTGATCTATAGTTATTATATGCATTTGCAAGATGTGATATATAATTTAAACATCTTCAAAGTTTCATAACTCAATATTTAAACACTAAGTTTAAAAAAATAACTTTACTAACACTTCGCATTTTATATACATTTTTCTAATACTATATATCTGTTCCTTCTAATTTCGGAATTATATTATCTATCTCTTTGCAACTTCACTATGATCGAATTGAAAACATGTGAGCTTTACACATTGTAGGGAAGCTATATACCAACTGTTCTATTACTATAGACCAAAGCTTAAAAGTTTACCCATAAATAATTGATTTCTTTGGTAAGCAATATAAGAGAAATAGTTTTAGGATTTCTTTGAAATAGGCAAAAACTTAGTGACAGAAAATCATGTTTCAATGAGATGGATATACTACCCTTTTCTACATAATAAATTAAATATTGGTTCAATGTCTAGCACAGGTGAATGGAAAGCATCTTCAAAGTTTTCCAGCATTGAACGATATTTGAACTGATTAAGCATTGAAATGGAAAAATAGTTTCAAATATGTACATGTGCTAAATGGCAGAAAAACATTTAATGCCATTTCAGAAACTGTGAGAAATTCATATCTAGCTCCAATCCAGAATTCAGTCGAGTTTCATGTGACTGGATAGCTCAGTAAATTTCACTTGGGCAGTATATGGTAGGTGATTAATCTTCTTAATATCAATCAAAATCGGTGTTTGAATCCAAGATAATTTTTTGAAAACAAATTCAATATAAAATATTTGCAAAACTATGTTTCTAGGGTTTTTAAATGATATAAAATAATTTTTGCAATTAAAGTTTTAACAATTATTTTTTGCATTATAAAATTTGTTGAGAGTCAGAAATATTTCAAATGAATCGTTTCCTACCTTATTCATCTAAATATTGAGCTTTTTAATAAAATCTTCAATTTTCAGTAATTCAATTCAATCAAGTAAATATATTGCTATTTTTGCCTTGAGGTTTTTTGTTCAGTTAATAATAATTTCGTATTTTAATAATTATAATCGCTTTAACTTCCCTCTTGACACATATCTTACTTTTGCATGTAATAATAAATTTTGGTATTCAGAGTCCATGCTTTTACAAGTGTTAAAGGAAAAGCGTTAAACAGAATTCATAATTTTGTTAGCATCCTCGAGCATATGGTTCAGTTTGGTTGCTAATCTTTTGGCTGCAAAGGCATCTTTGATAGAACAGGCAATATGTGAAATTCAATTTTCATGACCCCAACATTTTGCTTTGCGATCCTAAGTTTAAGATACACTGCCATACACAATTTAAAAGCAAATTCTGCATTCTATACATTGTTCTGTATATTTCTGAAATTCAGAAAACTAATTATTTTTAAGAATTTGGCTTTGTTCCATAGTTGCTCTCTTAATACAGGATATTCAATAACTGTCTCTTAAGTTAGGGTTTTAAAATCTTGCATTCAACAGTCTTTTGTGACTGTTTTGTCACTTCTCAATACTTGAATCTCAACTTTATTTACGCTTCTAATTAAAACAGAGTATCGGTCATGTTTAATACTATCTGGAAATCAAACATTCAATTAAAAAATAAATAATAAAAATTAATGATGCTTATTAAAGAAATATCATCCTACAGTCTAAATTATAAGGTACTGTTCAAAGAAATGCAATGTTTTTTACTTAGTGATTAATACTGGATATAAAATACTTGCATTTTAATTTAAATATGCCATAACCGACTATGTTAAATTCAGACTTTAATAAAACATAAATGCTTTAATTGCCTGTTATACACATTACTAATACTGCCTCAAGAAACTAAATGCTGCTACCAGTAATCTTGAATGACATATTAAAGTTACAGATTACTTATTTAAATAAATTCATTCTTCATAGCATTATTAATACAAGCAAGATTTATTACTGTATAAAGATTTCTTTTTTCTGCCAGATGATACTGCTTCTATTTAAAATAAATTTTACAAGACATTTTATATTACTTAAGAATGTTTTACAAAAATATATTTTCATAATTATCAAATGATTCAGAAATTGCTAATAAAATTTCATCTAAAAAATTTTACTTAATTGTTGAAATTTAAAACTTTCTAAGGAATTCACTGCTTTTAATATGTTTCATATTCTAACAATCCCACATAAAACTATTTATTAATCAAATCTAAATTATGATATGCTTCATTATAAGTTTGCTACTGACATTAAAGTATTTACTTTTTTCAATTGTTTTCATTGTTATTATTATCTTAGAATGGATGAGCAGTGCTTAAACAGCAAATAATTTATTTTCATTGCCCAGTACTAGTTGGATTGTTAGAGAACAGAGCTAGATGTTGACAATTACCAAACATTAAATACAGTAAGGAAAAAATAAGAAATCATATTTCTGTTCTGAATATAGAGATAGAGATACGATAAAATAACTGAGAGAACTTAAGAATATAACCAATACATTTAATTCTTATGTTGTTGATGTTAACAAAATTGTTACTAAAAATGAAAAGCTTTGATAGTGATTTTGATTCAATTTTTAGTGCTATAACACTAAAAATTAATGAAACATATTAAATATAGTATAAAATACTATTACACTAACTAATACTAAAAGGTAAGTACTAAAGCACTACACTAACATTAAAAAGTACTAAATCTAGTACAAAAGTTCTAGAGTGATCACAATGGACTAGATTGTACTAGATTGCAGCAGAATGGTCAAGTAGCATATAAAACTGTCATTCTTTCTCAATGTATTTGCTGTTTCTCTCTGCTGCTCTTTGTGCCATATCACTACTTCCCAAATACCTTAGGTTAAGTCTTCCCCAATACAGGTTACACTTGTAGGGCATCATATATATAAACTGTCTTAAATTTTGCACACTATTGTAATTTTTATAAAGTATGACATAACCATTAAAATGTCACAGTAATGAACAAGACAGAAAATGGCTACTTTTTAAAGATATTTGGAAGGACACTGAGTTAGGGTTTCTTATTAGTAAACTGACAATTTCTCAGGTGTTTCTAAAGCTCAGGTATAAATATGAGGAAGCATAAAAAAACAACCTTCACATTTTTTACAAACAATTCATGTAAAAATAATTCTTATTTTTAACATAGTGGTCCAAAAGGTTGAATACAAATATATCAGCAGTTGAATAATACCTAGGTTCCCCAAGAATAATCTCTTCTTATCTATTATATAAGCACTGATGCACAGACATTTTTATTACACCACTTCTTTCTAGTGAGGTTATCTCTGATGATCCCATCTGCAAACCTGGAGAAATGATAATTCAGACAACCCCATAGCTCTTCTCATGAATATTTATTTACTGGCTTATCATCTTCAGTACACAAAAATTAAACAATTGTTGGTTAATAATTTTACAGCATGCTGCTTTCAACGGAATGAATATTTTGGTCATCATTTGCTGTATCATATTTCGCATAACCCAATGAGTTTTGTGTTATTGATATTTTAAGCTTAAGATTTAATATACTCAAATTATAACTTTCTATTATGTAGTTTTGATTTTAAGGAGACATAGTACAGTTAATTTTTCACTTTTCTTCACATTAAGCGAAAGCAATTAATTACACAGAAAGTAAATTTCTTTCATTGTAAAATATACTGTAGTGTTAAAAGAAAATAACCAATGAATTAAGAGAAAAATCTTCCATCTTATTTATTATACACTCTAGTTATAAAAAGCAATGCATCAAGAAATAGTTATCCGAATGAGAAGAAACTCATATGCCCCCTGCCTTACAATAAAATAGGCATATGACTAACTTTTGGGGACCAGTGACTGGAGATCCAGCACATTGCAACGGAGCATTCGGA